AGCTCTGGGAATGTTTGGACACCAGGGATGCACAGGCTGGGATTTTTGGGGTGTCTGTGCAGGGCTGGAAGCTGGGCTCCTTCCAGCTTGGGATATTCCATGATTCCATGAACTCCCCACCCCAGGAGCTGCTGTCTGGGTTCACCAAAAATCATCACCTCTGGATCTCTTTTCTCCATTCTGGTGGAGGTTTTGCTGTCCCAGTTCCCCACACCCAGAACAGCCTGTTCTGCCCTAACTCCAATAAAAGTGGTTTTAAATAATTCACATTCACAGCTTCAAACTCCACCAGAATTTTGATTCTAGCAAAACACCAAATAAATAAAATATAACCAACGTCCAGTGTGTGTGCACAGACCCAACTTCCCGCTGCCATTTGCCTTTGGAAAACTTCACCTGGAAAATAAGGATAATCTGGCCCAGCAATGGTTTGTGCTCAGCTCTCCAGAGCCAGGAACACACATGGAAAATGTGTTCCCAAAGGGATGAAAAACAGGGAATTCTGGCTCTCTAAAGAACTCAGCTCATTTTTTAACCCCTGAGAAGGAAGAATTCCTGAAATTCTCCCATTCCATGGTGGCACAGGGAGGTTTTGTATCCTTACGAGGTGTTTTACATAAAACATTAAAATGCTCCTGCTTCCCCAAGTTTCCCAAGGCAGTAGTTTTGCAAGGAAGTGTTGGCTTAAAGACAGGAATTTTCCTTGGGAAAGAAAATATTCCAGATCCCTGCTGCCTTCTTAGGGAGAGGTGGGAGTTGCCTCTCCCAAATCTCAAATCTCCTGTTTTCCTCTGACCATCCTGTCTTAAATGATTTCTGCTTCCCAAAAAATTCCCAGATCCTCCTATATAATGGATATCAAAGGAATTATTAATCAGATTTACTAATATTGACTATTTTCCAGGCATTTTTCCATAAGTTGTCCAAGGGGAAAGTTCTCCATGGAAAAGCTGGAAAACATTGGAAAAGGGCAGTGGAGTCCCCATCCTGGCAGGGATTTAAAGCCCTGTGGAGGTGGCACTTGGGGACACGATCAGTGGTGGCCTTGGAAGTTCTGGGAATGGTTGGATTTGATCTCAGAGGGCTTTTCCAGTCTAAAGCATTCCAAGATTCCATGAACTCTCCATATTTTTATGGATCGGGATCACAACAAGGCACCCGCTGCTGTTCCTGGTATAATTTTTATAACAAAGCCAATTTTATCTGAAATAAATATTTGATTTTTAATTGGAAATTCTCCATTTTTTCCCCCATTCCAGCCAGGATAATTCCATATCCATCACCTCTCCAGCCCTTCCAGCCCCATCAAAATACACCTTAAAATCCTGGGAAAATTCTCCCTAAACTTTGAGAAAAGCACAGAAGAATCTCTAAAATAACAACAAAAAGATGC